GTCATACTGACCTGCCCCTGCCCACAGGCAGCTCACCATATACAGCAAACTATAGGACAACTAGTGACAGGCATGTAAAAGCGCCAAATAGACCAAATGACCTACTGGTCTATTGTGATTTCTCTAAGGATATAGAAGATGTATACACAGGTGAAATCTCTGGGCAGAAAATATGGTCGACATCTTAACATTACATTGATGTAAACCACTTTCCCTCTTATGACCAGATTACTGTTTTCTGTCAGCACGGAACACACTTTGTCCATCAAGTGCAATAGCTGGGCTGTTGTGCCAGGTCTGTTTATTTGTTATCGTCATATGTGCGTGGGCATTTTTTAAATACACTTGGTGAAAATAACACTTGTATACCACATACAAAACAAATGCATGGTTTTTGCCTAGAACTAAAATAAAGTGGGCATGTCTGCAAGACTCGAGGGTACCCATACAACCTCTTTTTATTCAGCTGTCTTGAGGTCAGTGGTCAAGGAACCCCACTGAAAATGGCCATACCAGTTTTTTGATCGCCAAAATGTACCCTAACTTCGAAATGTTATTTATGCCCCTTCCTGACAAGCTAGCATGACATGGGTGTTACCAATGGATGTGTTAGGTCTTCATATGTTACCAGTATCTTATCTCTAGGTATAAAACACCCACTACAGCATCTGAAAGAAAGATGCAGAGTGAAAGAGGCAAGGATAATCGGGTAGCCCAGGCCTTTCTTCTGGAAACGCCCCTGCCATGTAAAACACTTATGAGAAAATCTGTCATCAGCATTCCCTTGATTTCAATGTAAATACATAGACAAACATAATCTCACCCACGCACAAACACACACACACACACACACACACACACACACCTCAGATCAGATTATATGGTAAGTGATCTATCTGGCTGGAGGGATATGGGAGACACAGAGAAGGCAATACCAAGGAATATGGCTGCAGAACACGTCAAAAAGATTTGTATTGATTTTGATATTCACAACCAGTGAGAGAGAGAGTCCTCTTCCTGTCACCCATCACTATCATCATCATCATCATCATCATCATCATCATCATCATTGGGTTAACTTCCATCATCATGACCATAATTTTCACTTCAGTTCCATATGACTGAACCATTAGCCACAAAGATCACATCAGTACTCTTTTATCTGGACCCTGTGATCACTTTGTGGAAGCTAATGGGAATCCAGATTAAGAATCAAGTACAATGATTGTCTCCTTTTCTCTGTTTGATAAGTGGAAGTGGTGAAGAGTTCAGCCATCACTGCTGAGTCCAGCTCTCTGGATGGAGCCTAATGGAGCAAATAAATAATTATTTTTACACAACTAGCCTACTATTGTTGTTGTGTTGTTGCCAGTGATGCTACTATTTTTAGATCAAATTTAAGTGCCGCTGCCAAATATAAACAGTTAAATACCTCCCGATAAAAATCGGGAGGTGGCGGGGCACAAACGTTTCTCAGCTTCTGAAATGGGGGCACGTAAACAATGTGTAAACAATATAAAAACAATACCACACAGGGTATAAAATGACCACGACAAACCACACAAAAATACATAAGGAATTATAATAAACCATGTGTGCTATAATTTGTTTACACGTGATTTGGGGGAAGTGGTATAGCAGGTCATTTAAACTAATAATTATTATGTCGAATATAAATTAGATGGGTTTTTTTTATTACATCTTCTGGCCAAAACGCCATACAGGCCTACTGATGCTGCCTACCAATCTGTGTGCTCGGTTTATAAACCTTTGTGCACACATTTGTAAACCTAGAGTCCAGATTTACAAATGACCCTTGGGGAGGCTCCATACACTTTTAATTGCTTTTGTGTATGAAATGTGATATAGAAGTAAATCTTGCCTCGCCTTGTGTTACCATTATGTATTCTGGCTATAAGCGCGTATATTCAGTAACCACTGATGATTTGATGATGATCTCTCCAGCAGTGTTGGTATATTCAAACAGTCCTGAAGGCTAATTATTATCAAAATGTATTTTTACAATATTGATAAATATTATTTATTATTATATTAAATGTTAAATGTCACTTCCTTGGCTTTTGGCAGGATTGGATAGGACACATAATTGTTTCCTTATTTCCCTTGCTTATTTGTCACAGTATTGTGTTGTTATTATTATTAGTTATTATTAAGTATTATTATTGCTACAGTTACTGTTGTTACTGTTGTCGCTGCTCGCTGTCCCCCATCGTTG